TACATAATCCCTTGTAATGACTGCAACAAATTATATGTGGGCGAAACATCAAGAGACTCCAAACACGTATTTCAGAACACCAATATGCAAGCAGGACTGACGATACAAGGAATGCCTGTGTACAACATCGCAATTCACACAACCATTTAATTAACTACAGAAACTCAAGACTTATCGCCACAGAAGACAACACTCAATACCCAAGAATCCTGGAATCATCGCTTATTCTCTATAACCAACAATTTCAACCAGAACAACGGCTTCTATAACATAGTGAACCACTCGCCAAGAAACTTCTTCATCGCTATCCCACATAAGAACATAGAACACTGCGGAAGGTCTACTCACAAAATTGTCCAATACCCCTGCCAAGCTACCCAAGACTCTATAACTCCACCCGGTAGATCATCAGATGCAGCATTCTCCACCTGACCTCAACATTCTGAACATGACTATAAATACTCCGTACCTTCCACCCCAGGTAGATCTGTGTGTGACTTGAAAAAGCCCACTGTGTGGGTGAAACGTTGTCAATAAAGGATCACATTTTTACTGCATATGTGTTTTAATTTCCACTGTGTCGGTATTTGATACCATTTATTTCCACTTGACGTGCTGTTGGAGTGTGAGCAAAATAACATTTATGAAGGGGTTCAGGGAAACCGGCAGGCCGGACTTGGTCCTGGAGATGGGAAGCACAGTGCCTGCACTCTGAAGGAGGGGTGTTAATGTTGCAGTTTAAAAACTGTAGTGTAAAGCACCCTTCTGGCAAGACAGTGATGGAGTGAATGATGGTGAAACTTTTCTTTTTTGGGCTACCCTGCCTTGGTGGGAATCGGCCAGTGTGATAATAATAAAAAATAATAACTCTATATATCCTTGGTTAGGCCTCATTTAGACTATGCTGCTCAGTTCTGGTCACCGTATTACAGAATGGGTATAAATGCTCTGGAAAACGTACAGAGGAGGATGACAAAGATGATCCCATATATCAGAAATCTTCCCTATGAGGATAGACTGAGGGGCCTGAATCTGCACTCTCACGAAAGGCGTAGAATTAGGGTTGATATGATCGAGGTGTATAAATGGAAAACAGGAATAAATAAAGGGGATGTAAATAGCGTGTTGAAAATTTCCAGCCAAGACAGGACTCGTAGCAATGGTTTCAAGTTGGAAAAATTCAGATTCAGGAAGGATATAGGAAAGCACTGGTTTGGTAATAGAGTTGTGGATGAGTGGAACAAACTCCTGAGTACAGTTATTCATGCTAAAACGTGAAGTTTTAAAAATAGGTTGGATGGATGCATGAGTGGGTGTGGGTGGGTGTGAGATGGACCTGGCTAGCTTGTGCTGCTGGGTCTGATGCCATGCTCCTTCCTTGAGTGGAGGTGACCAGACTGGGTGGGTCGTTGGCTAATCCGGTGGGGGGGATTGGTATAATCCAGGGGGGGGGGTCATTGGTCTAATCTGGGGGGGGGGATGGACCTGCTCCACATGGGTCAGTGGGCCTGTTGCAGTGTTCCTTCTTTCTTATGTTCTTATAAACAAAAAATACATTTTACAGAGAATAACTATATTCCATGGCTTATTTATCTATCACAATTCATCTAATATGACATAATAAACAATATCAATTTTATGGTTAACCTCATCCTTCATACAACCATCCACTGACACGTCAACTCCCAAATATCTGAAAACATTCGTTTCTTCCATACTCCTCCTCTCCAATTTGATATCCAGTTTTTCTTTATCTAAATCATTTGATACCCTCAGCACCTTACTCTTTTCTATGTTCACTTTCAACTTTCACCCTTCACATTAACCCTTTCAGGGTCGAGAGGCCCTCTCCTAAACTCGTTCTCAGGGTCGAAAATTTTTTTGGGGAAAAAAAAAAAATCCTTATGTAATGATAGAGAATCTTCTCCCGATCATAATGACATCAAAAGTATGAAATTTGATGGAAAACTTATGGAATTACGCTCTCGTGAAGTTAGCGGTCTCGACGATGTTGATGCATTGGCGATTTCGCTCACTTTGAGCCCTTTTTTTGGCCAATTTCAGTGTACTAGTCGACAAAAATCATATGTATTTTGCTAGAACTCCATTTTTTCTAACGAATGTGTACAAGAAACCACCCATTTACTGATTTCAAGTATCCAATAAAGTGGTCAGAAACTGGCAATTTCAGAAGATGCCAGTTTCCAAATAAGATCCAGAATAAGCAAGACAGACATTCCTGGCACTAAAATAACATTTTTCTCTGTTCATTAGTCACATCCCTGGGCCCCTCTTACATCTCTCTTGCTTTCCACTTTGAATTTTTATTCTCACAAAAATAGAAGATTTACTGTTATGCAGACTACTGCATTAGTGTAGAAATGGTACAAATAATATCAGTGCACTTGTGAAAGAATATTAGACTCACCAGTTGACGTGTATTGGACGCTTGGCATAATTTGTTTACTTTTGAAATTTGGTAAAAGTCGAACATTTCTGCTACTTTGAGCTCAATTTCAAGGTACTTTTCATTATGAAACAGATCAAAATCATCTCGATTTCTGTAATATGTCTTGCATTCTATAAAATGAGACCAGGAAAACTAAAATACAACCATAAATACCATATGAAAATACACTGCAAAGTCGCTGTTTTAAACCGAAAACACTGTCGGAGTTTTTGTTTCTCATTATGCACTGTGTGTTGCAGGATTTTTTTTATACTGCGTACACTGACCACATAGACCCATTCTTTCATATGTAGGCCTACCAGCTTTCTCTCACTAGATTTGAAGGCGCTAGAATTTAGGCGTTCTAGTACGCCAATAACCATGGTGCGTAAGCTGTACTAGTACATCAGAAACCCTGAAAGGATTAATTACATTAATTCTTATGGGAAATATGGTTTTGAATTTTGGCCATTTCCAATTTAGGCCAACCTTCTGGAATGGATCACGGCTGAAAAACGAGGTTCCACTGTAATCCGTTTCAGACACCCAAAAGTATAAACAAAAAATACATTTTACAGAGAATATCTATATTCCAAGCTTATTTATCTATCACAATTCATCTAATATGACATAATAAACAATATTAATAGCATAGAAACATGACACATACTCTAGAATGAATAAAATATATCATTACGTATGTGAGGAGTGGTGGTCGTGTTATTGTTGTTGGGTTTATAAGGGCCACTGAGAGCATAAGCCATACATATTAGTGGTAGTGGAGGCGGCAGCAGAAGCTATCAGCACTATTCACACAAAAATGTATGTAATTTATGAATAAGAAATCTTTCTTTCAACACACCAGCCATATCCCACTGAGGGGGGTGGCCCAAAAGGAAAAACAAAAGTTTCTCCTTTTACATTTAGTAATATATACAAGAGAAGGGGTTACTAGCCCCTTGTTCCTGGCATTTTAGTCGCCTCTTACAACACTCATGGCTTACGGAGGAAGAATTCTGTTCCACTTCCCCATGGAGGTAAGAGGAAATAAACAAGAACAAGAACGAGAAAGAAAATAGAAGAAAACCCAGAGGGGTGTGTATATATATGCATGTACATGTATGTGTAGTGTGACCTAAGTGTAAGTAGAAGTAGCAAGACGTACCTGAAATCTTGCATGTGTATGAGACAGAAAAAAAAGACACCAGCAATCTTACCATCGTGTAAAACAATTACAGGCTTCCGTTTTACACTCACTTGGCAGGACGGTAGTACCTCCCTGGGTGGTTGCTGTCTACCAACCTACTACCTATAGAATAAGAATTTTTTTTTTTTTTTCAACAAGGCGGCCGTCTCCCACCGAGGCAGGGTGACCCAAAAAAGAAAGAAAATCCCCAAAAAGAAAATACTTTCATCATCATTCAACACTTTCACCACACTCACACATTATCACTGCTTTTGCAGAGGTGCTCAGAGTACAACAGTTCAGAAGCATATACGTATAAAGATACACAACATATCCCTCCAAACTGCCAATATCCCAAACCCCTCCTTTAAAGTGCAGGCATTGTACTTCCCATTTCCAGGACTCAAATCCGACTATATGAAAATAACCGGTTTCCCTGAATCCCTTCACTAAATATTACCCTGCTCACACTCCAACAGATCGTCAGGTCCCAAGTATCATTTGCCTCCATTCACTCCTATCTAATACGCTCATGCACGCTTGCTGGAAGTCCAAGCCCCTAGCCCACAAAACCTCCTTTACCCCCTCTAGAATAAGAAATATTTACACTTTAATTTATAAATAAGAAATATTTACATTTACTGTACCTTGGAGATGCTGGCATTGGTTTAGGGTGGTGGAAGATAGGCAGGGTGGCATATGTTTTTCAGTGGCCCTATATACCTCCAATAACATTGGAGGAGTTAATTTCGTTTCATCCTTTTTCTATGGCTTAATCACTTAACTTACTTGCTACACTGTTAATGCTACACTTTATTGCTGGCTGGCGCTATAGCCTTTATCGATTCCTGCTGCTTTAGAATCGTACATATCACAGAATCACTGAATCACTGAAGAAGGCACATTCTCCCCTCTCTCTTCCTCCTCCACTTTGGTACTTTGCTACGTGTTTTTTCTTGAATTCTATCGTGTTTCTCACCTTCTTTAGCAACAGGCTGGCACAAGCAGCTTTCTTTGGGCCCATGGTGGCTTATTTAGCAGTCACACAGAATAAACAAGTACAAAAAGCAATAAATTATTACGAAATGTTTCCTATGACCTCGCAGAATAATGTTCACTCACCGAGAAACAAAGCGACACTGCCTCAGAATGCATGTGCGGGAGGCTTTGTGCGTGAATGGCACTCAGACAGGTATCGTACCACTGATAAGAATGGAGGAAAGTAATGAAAACTGAGCCAATATTTTCACAAAAAAAGTTGGCGATAACTGAAATTCATGAAAACAGAGCCCAACGAAAAGGGAGGGTCCACTGTATACTATAACAATGGTGACATCATTCAGGTACATAGAATTAAACAAAATATATTCCTGAAAATTATATTGAATCATGTTAAATTACAATGTTGATTTGCAAATGCAAAGAAAGCCGAGGCATTTCAGGCAGACTAAACCTAAAACATTACAGACTATACTTAATACTAGACATATATCATAGTTAGTTCAACCTGAACATTGATTTTGTATATATCAACAGCGGTTGTTCAGTCCGTAAAATGGAAGCCCTGTTAGTAATTGTAATGCATCTTCATATTATATTCTATTAACATCAGGCTGGTTTATGATGACAGCACTTTGTACTTTCTGCCCTCCGACCAGCAGTTAAAGCCATCTATATAGATGGTTTAGGATATTTTAATCAACAGGTCGTGTATGTATTTGAGAGCATTGAATTTAGATGTTTGTCCAAGATGAAGATTTTGCCTAATCAGAATGTGAGGAGGGTAGCTGGGCATGGTGATGTCACAAGTTGTTATCTGCCAGAGTGGTAATGAAAATGTTATAGCAGCCACATTTTTATGTGGCTGCTATAACAGTGATTTCACATATTCTATAAGCAACACTAATTTTGCCCAATTTTTCCTTATATTATATATTTTAGTAACTCCTTCTTAAGCCTTCCTTTTGTATTTGCAATTTCTTTAAATGGTTTTACTGTTTTGCAGTACTAAAACTGGTGCAAAGTACAGTACAGGTTGACCATCACTAATCTGGCATCATTGGGACCTACAGTGTGCCAGATTAGCGAGTTTGCCGGATTACAGAGTGGTTAGGTTAGAATACACTTAACCTATCAGTAGAGACTCTTTCTGCTATATCTTCCTCATTTTCATCAACGCTTTCTCCTCCACTGGCTTGCTGCTGTGAATTTACAACCATCTGCACACTTTCTGAGTCAGTGTAATGATGAAATTTGAAATTATGCTAGCCGAAAATTAGTGCCGGATTACTGATGGAACTGGATAACTGATTGCCGGATTAGTGATGACCAACCTGTATCAGTAATCTTACATGAGCTAAGTATATAGTTTTAGTAATTATAATATTAGTATAATATTATAATTACTAAAACTAAATGACAATTATTTGTAGTGGTATTAAGATTATTTATTTTTCTTTACATTATCCACAAACTGCTTTGGGTAGATTAACTATATGATGAAATTATTAAATATGAAATGACTAATATTTTAAAGATGAAAGTTGTTATGCCCAGTGGGGTCTGACAGGGATCTAGTGTGACCTCTGTAAACCTCTAATTTTGCACTACTGCTCACAGGATGAACTGTGGGTACATAATAAGCTAGCCGCTTGGGTGGAACAAAGTACAATAAGTCATCTTTGTTGGCAGAAACATGTATGTGTATATATTTGCCTTTTATGGTCCTGATTATGTATTTCTAAGAAGGAAGCAAGATTAGAAGAAAAAACTGGGTCATTATACATGTCATTACACATATTACTACTTAACTTTTTCATTTTTCATAATTTATTTCTGAATTCACTACATTTGGACTAGGAAAATCTTTCCAGTTTGTCCATGAATAACCCCAATACTTTGGATTGGAAGAAGGATCCCAGGGTGTGTTAAGTGGAGGAACAGCAGTTGAATTATACCGTCTCAGACTGGCCTCCAGTATAGCCAAGACATCTTTGTGAGTTGCAGAAAGGTCAGTATATTCACAAGGATCACTGGGTATGTGAAACAAGCAGGGTGTCTCTGAAGAGTTGCAAGCTGGAGTATTTTCTGGAATGGGACTGCAGTATATCTGCAGATAAAATAAGAAATTATGATTAGTTTACATAATTAAACCTATTTAATTCTTTTTTTTTTTTAAACTCGATAACTATATCCTACCAAGGCAGGGTGACTCAAGGAAAACACATTCACCAACATTCACTCAATAGTTGTCTTTCCAGAAATGTGCTGACATCACTATCAGAATACCCTTTCGGCTGCAACATCCTCACTCCTTCGGAGTACAGGCACTGCCCTTCCCACCTCCAGGACTCGAGTCCAGCTAAGTAAGTAAGTAAGTTTATTCAGGTATACACAAATACAGTTACATAGATTATCATACATAGCAGCATATGTGTAAAGTACCTGGGATAACCCAAAAAGTCAGACAGAGTGACTTATTTCCAATGGGGTCCTTTAAACCTTATTATTATAAAATAAAGGTGATATCTTATTATTATTCTATAATGGAGATAACATCTTATTATCATACTCTTAAGACTATCTACTACATGAGGGTCATTAAGGCTATCTACAATACGAGAGTCATTACTAGTAATAAGGTAAAATTACACGCGTGTTAGCTAAAAAAATAAAAAATCATTCGCCTCCCTTTCTGTAGCTACATTCATCAAACACCTTTTGGCTCTCTTCTTGAACTGGTTCATGCTATGACTCGCTTTGACATGTGAAGGCAGTCTGTTCCATTCCTTTATTGCTGTACAATAAAAGGTGTTTAAAGCCTGGCCACTGACTGTGGGTACTACAAAATTGTGCTCTCTCCCCCTAGTACTATGATTGCTTTGGTTCCCAACCTTGACAAAATTGGCAGCAAGATATTCTGGACACTGTTTGTGAGCAATTTTAAATATGTGATTTAACCTCAGTTGTTTTACTCTGTTTTCAACATTCAGCATATCCAACTGCTGTAATTCATCCTGGCCTACATGCTCTCTTGGACCCAGGTCAAGGATGAATCTTACCATTTTGTTTTGGGTGATTTGCAGTCTATCTTTCAGTTTTTTTTGTCAAGGCAGAGTACCATGAAGAGCAAGTGTAATCCATATGACACTGTATAAGGGCTAGACATAGGGTCCTATGAGCCTCAGTAGGTAGACACTGTGCTTGTCTATAGAGGAATTTCAGTCTGGCATTCACTTTCTTTACTACACTGTTCCCTATCAATTCTCCTGACATGCATGGGTCAAAGGGGATTCCCAGATATTTTGCTGAGGAAACTGAAGTGATGGGCTCCCCATTACACTGGACATTCAAATTATTTGCCCTTTTCAATTTATGTTTCATGCCAAAGAGAATGGCTTCAGTTTTCCCGAGGTGTAATGATAGTTTGTTGTCTACTAACCATTTGCTGCAGGACTCCAGTTCCAGTGTTAATACATTAGCTATATCTTGTGGGTCTTTACCTGACACTAACAGAGCACTGTCATCTGCATACAGTAGGAGTTTGCACTTGACACAGATAGGCATGTTGTTAACTTAGCATAGGAATAATAAGGGACCCAGAATACTACCTTGGGGAACTCCACATGCTATCGGCAGGAGTTCTGATTCCATTTTGTTTATTTTGACGATTTGTCTCCTATTGCAAAGGTAGGACTTAAACCAGTCTACAGAACCTATACTGACAGCTTGAAGTTTCTCACATAATACATGTATATTGTGGTTGACAGTATCGAAGGCCTTTTGCAGGTCTGAGGTTACCATACCTATGAGGTTCCCCATTGACATTTCAGTTCTCATGTAATCCACCAGATTTATTAGGGAGGTGTTGGTTGAGTAAGATCTTCTAAAGCCTGATTGATAGCTATGGAGAATGTTGTTGTCATTAAGGTACTTAACTACTTGACAGTACACCGCCCTCTCTAGAATTTTGGATATTATACTGAGTATACTAACAAGCCTATAGTTGATTACATCAGACCTACTATTTTTCTTGAAGATAGGAGTAACTCTGGCCTCCTTGAACCCCTCCAGTACGGTATTAGTGGTGATGGACAAATTTATTATGTGAGCAATAGGGATTGACAATTCAGAAGTACCATCTTTTAGGAACTTAGATGGGATGTTATCAGGGCCGGTGCTCTTAGTTGGGTTTAACCTGTTTAGTTCTTTTTTAATAAAGTCATGAGATACACTTACTAGTTGACAACAGTTTGGGGTTACCCCTTTATTGGTATAGTATATTTGAAATTTAGATGAGTCTGTGTTAAAGGTATTTGATGCAGCTGGTAGTTTACTTGCTAGTGTTGATGTGATAGATGTATAGTAGGAATTAAAACAATTTGCCACCTTAGTTGTTTCGTGGCATACCTTGTTATCGATAGTGAGTACTATATTAGACCTATCTACTGGTTTATGGCTATACCCCAACTGTTTTAGTTGTTGCCAGAGCTTTCTGGGGTTATGCTTATACTCTTCAATTTTTGAGCAATAGTGCTTTGCCTTTGCTCCTTTTATAAGTGTCTGTACTCTGTTCCTCACCCTTTGGAATTCATTTAGTGCTGCAATATTCTGTCTGTTTGATTTAAATCTTTTTGGCAATTGATCTCTGAATTTCATATTATCTAATATCTTAGTAGTCATCCAGGGTTCAGTTCTCCATTTAATCCTAACTTCTTTAACTGGTGCAATATTATCAAGGATGGTAGTGAACATTGTTTTGAATTTTTCCCAGGCATCGTTTATGTCTGTGAAACTTGTTATCACTGTCCAGTTACAATTGTGTAGCCTATTTACCAGTGTTTCTTTACTGTAGTTTCTAGTTGACCTCATTTTTATTGTCCTGTGTAGGCCTATCCTATCCCTAGTGATTTTCCTGGTGCAGTAAATGATGAAATGATCACTAAGGCCTGTGGTAATGATGCCTAACTGACTAATGTTCTCAGAGTGGTTACAAAGTATGTGGTCAATTAGGGTGGACAAGACTCTAGAAAAGTCTTCTAAGAACTGGTCATGGGTGGGAGGGCAGTAACTAGTTCCTACTAAGATGGGTTTGGTCTTGGGAAGCAGCACTTCAAACCACAGAATCTCCAGTTTATTGTTATTTAAATCAGGTCTTGGGTTGTAAGCTAAGTCATTTCTAATGTAGGCACATACTCCTCCACCTTTTCCTGTCTAAGCGTTTTATATTGTAACCTTCTATTCTGACCGCGTCGTCAGTCACCGTATCACCCGCCCTAGTTCTGTTAGCTAAAATCCTAATCTCTGCCAATTTTGGAAGGAGTGATCTTGTGTTGACATGAATAAAGTGAAGGCCTGTTTTCATAAAACAATTATGATCATCAGTATATGGCAATGGGTCATTTGTATTAAAATTAGGTAAATCAATGTCATCATTGCTAAAGGGTAACTGTGCAAAAGTTCATTTGTTACACACAAAATGAATTCTGGCACCATTACTATAATTGTACATACATCCATTATGCACCCACCCCTTACACATTTTACATAAGGTGCCTTTTCTGTTCTTCTTTCGTACTTTAGTGTAGTGTATGCACCTGTTTGGTGGTGTTTGAGATAAGAATGGCTGTATTGTCTCACGCTGGCCTATGTATGCATTACATATGGAGTTAAGATTATCATTCCCAGCTACTAGACCGTCATTATCACCATCACTTATCTGCCTGTTTTGCCACTGCACAATATTTTGAGGTTCTGGATTAATTTGGATATCACCACTTAAGAACACTACAATAAGAGCTGTGTGCCACTGTTTTTGTTTGGGTATGCAGTGTTGCCATACCTTGCGGCGATAGTGACATTTACGTTTCTGGTAGGATGGCAACTGTTGGGCTTTTACTGTCCGGGGTGCTATTACCCCATTCACCTTTTCCAGCCCCCATGACTGATTTCCTTCTTCATGGAATTGCAGGAGAAAGATAAATGTAATTATGGCAGCCTGTACCCCCCTAATGCCTGCCATTTTCACTCTTCATTCTTTTACTCATACACAATAACATTTATTTCTCTTTTTCAGTCACCTAGCAAACCCTAGTAGCTGCTCTAGCAATCATCACTGAATTACTAGTAAATTTCCTGGTATCTACTTCAAAACCCTCTTCAATCCTCACTTATCCCTTTACTTCACAAACCCCTTTCACTTATCCCCTTATTTCACACCCCCTTTCACGCCTCACTTCACAGTCCAGATTCACCTATTACACTTCTAACTTGTTTCCATTCTGGCAGGACCAGAAAGTTTTAATCAATGGCTTTATCCATCCAAATCCCCCTCAATTCCATTTATCGGGGTTGCGTCGTGTTGTTGACTGCCTGACCTGATCTGCTGTTTCAGCCATTTTTAAAAGCACTGAGGGAAGAAAACGCCACCTACAACCTGACTTTCCTTTAGTTTTATAGATAAATTTGGCATGAGTTTTGTGTTGTAAATTTCGATGTCTCCTGTGTTTTCCTGAATCCCTTCATAAAAGTTACTCTGCTCACACTCAACAGTATATGTAAGTCCAAGTTAAATACTGAAACAGAATGCCTAATAATGTTTACTTAAATTTTATACAATAATTTATAAACCAAAACATTCACTAAAAATTTCAATACACTTAGCTCTTGATCTTTGTAGGAATGTTTATCTGAAAAACATCAAGCGTGATACTTGGAAAGACTAATCTAATGTGGAAATACACAAGATACAATACTGAATTGCTTCTTCTCAACAATCAACCTTTATGAGAGTAAATTTTGTTTATCTATACAGTAGGACCCCACTTTATGGTGTTCCGCTAATAAGGGCATTTCAAATTATGATCAAAACATGCTATATGGCTCCCCCACCTGACTTTCTAATATGGTCACTGTGCACCACCTGGTTTGTTTACATGTCTCCTCTCACCCAAACCCAACCATACTAACAGACACTGTAAATGCTGAACTACTAAAAATATCCACTTGGATGACCACCAACAAACTTACTCTCAATATAGACAAAACCTGTTTTATGCTATTTGGAAACAGAGCTACAAATGTACAGCTAAACATACTCATAAATGGTTCACCCATTTCTAGACACACAGAGGGTAAATTTCTAGGTTTCCACCTAGACTGCAATCTCAAATTCCAAACTCACATACAGCAAATATCCAAGAAAGTCTCCAAAACAGTAGGCATCCTCTCGAAGATACGGTACTATAAACCCCGATCAGCTCTTCTTGCACTATACAACTCTCTCATCTACCCTGACCTCACCTATGGTATTTATGCATGGGGCTCAACCACAGCAAATCACCTTAAACCTTTAATAACCCAACAAAAAACTGCAGTGCGATTGATTACAAACTCCTGTAATACACAGCATACTGCATTCTGCTTTCCAATGATATCCGCTTTCTGGCAGTAGCCTGGAACCTAACCTGCTGTATAAGTGGGGCCCTACTGTATAGTATGTTCAGCTGTTGAAAGGTATAAAAACATTGTGTATGAATGTGCTGATTATTAAGAGGTAAAAAATTGAAAATTTGATAGTATTTACACTTCAATGAGCAGTACATAGTGATGCTCAATAGCTAAATATAGTATAGGAAATAAATTGCCACTTGTTAAAATGAACACATTAATATTAGTATACATAATTACACAAATAATCCACACTTAGGAGACTGAAACTAATGATGACATTTTGGTCTGACTTGAACCATTAACATGCAAGTTATTTGTTTTACTGTTCCAGCCACAGTATTGTGACTTTTTATTCTTTATACAAAGTAAACATAGTCTTTTAACCCTTTCAGGGTCCAAGGCCCAAATCTGGAGTCACCACCAGTGTCCAAGAATTTTCAAAAAAAAAAATTTGTTATTTTTTCTTATCAAATGGTAGAGAATCTTTTTGTGAAGGTAATAAAAAAAAAAGTACGAAATTTGGTGGAAAATTGACGAAATTATGCTCTCGCGAATTTTGATGTGTCAGCGATATTTACGAATCGGCAATTTTGCCGACTTTGACTCCCATTTTAGGCCAATTACATTATTCCAATCAACCAAATTCTTAGCTATTTCACTAGTATTACTTCTATTCTATCGATTGAGCACAAGAAATCGCCAAGTCAACTGTTTCAACTACAAAATAAAGTGATCGGAAATTGTTAATTTGGCCAATTTAACACAAAGTTCAAAATATTCCAATTTCAAAATAGGGTCCAGAATGAACAATGTAGGCATTCCTGGCACTAACTAACATTTCCTCTGTTCATTAGTTATGTTTTGAGGCTTTACAAATAAATTCCATTTTGATTTTTTATTCACATAATGAATTTTTATTCACACCAAAAAATAGAAGATTTACTGTTATGCAATACTGTAATAATTGTATAAATATCATCACCATATTTGTGAATGTATATTAGACCCACCAGCTGACGTGTATTAGATGTGTGAGGTCGTTTGTTTACTCTTGAATATCGGCAAAAATTTAACATTTCTGCTACTTTGAGCTCAATTTCAAGCCATTTCCAGTGCTAAAACCAATCAAAGCCATCTCTATTTCTGTAATATGTCTTCCATTCTATCAAATGAGACCAAGAAATCGCAAATACAACTATAAAAACATACGAAAAAACACTGCAAAGTTGCTGTTTTAATCGAAAAATCATGATTTCATTTTTTTTCTCTCATTATACACAGTGTGCTGCAGGATCTGTTTTATGTGGTGCACACATACCACACAGATGTATTCTCTCATATCTAGGCCCAAATGTACCACTCACAGTTTATCAGAGTTAGCTGAGCTCATGGCGTAGATCTACGGTTTGGACCCTGAACGTAAAGCCGTAGATCTATGGGACGGACCCTGAAAGGGTTAAACAACAATAATCTTGTGGCAGCACTAATGACAGAAAATTATTCCAGGAATTTCACCCATCATTTCCACTGAGTAATTATGGAGCAAGTGACACAAGCATTCAAAGGCTAGATAATGATCGAAAGAATTAATTTTCTTTCAAGGTAATGCGTATGATAACCAACATGCCAGCCAATGATAGTGCAGCCCTATCACTGACTGGTCTGTTGGTTATTTTATGCACTACCTTGCAAAAAATAAAATAGTAGGTATGGTAAGGTCCAGAAGACACTAGTAATGCCTTCTATTTGCAAGATTTGATCCCATGTTATCACAACTTGGTGATTACACAGAAAGACAGACAGACACAGATATACAGACACAAAATGTACTAACCTCTGCTTCCTTTCTCAATTCTTTTATATCTTCATAAGCATGAGGATTAATAGTTTTCACAGCTTTGGCAACAGAAGAATTGAGAATCTGTTGCAGTATAACCTCCAAGTTCGTTTCTGGTGCAGTTTCATTACGACCTGAGGGCCCAAACCAACCATCCCATTGTGGACCATCCCCCTGTGCATCTGAAAGTATTGGTTGGAATGTAAGCAGGGTAATACTTTGTGAAGGGATTCAGGGAAACTGGTTAGCCGGACTTGAGCCCTGGAAATGGGAAGTACAATGTCTGCACTTTAAATGACAATGTTTTGCTTGATTTACAAGCTATACATGGCAATGTTTAGCTTGATTTACAAGATATGCATGACAATGTTTTGCTTGATTTACAAGCTATACATGGCAATGTTTAGCTTGATTTACAAGATATGCATGACAATGTTTTGCTTGATTTACAAACTATACATGGCAATGTTTTGCTTGATTTCCAAGCATTATATTTGATAATGTTTTGTTTGATTTTCAAGTTTTCTATATGACAATATTTTACTTGATTTGCAAGCTTTATGTATGACACAGTTTGATGTTAGATCACTGAGTATACACTATGATGACCTCTTACCACTGCTTAATTCAAATTAACTAAATGTTAACATGTCTATCATTATTCTTACTGAAACCTGCCTCAAACTTGACTTCACTGACATCACTGCCTTACATGGTTACACAGCCATACATATCTGTAGCCCTAACCAACTGCGAGGTGGCACTGCTATCTACCACTATGATGAATTAGAATGCAGTAAATCTACTTGCACCAGGGATGAAAATGGTGAATACATATTTGCAAAATTCTCATTAAAAAAACCCTATTACAGTTGGAGTAGTCTACAAATTCTTACACATTCAGATATAACCTAAAAAACATTATAACTGACTCAGCGATGAATAAACACCACCTGATACTTGCTGGCAACTTCAACATAAACCTTATCCAAGCAGCTGACCCTCAAGTAGCAAACCTCATAAACACTATATACAAATGCTTGCTACTATCATCTATTACCAAGCCAACAAGAATCTCTGAGACAAGTGCCTCATTACTTGACCATATCTAGACCAATACTATGCCCACACTAAAAGCAGGGATAATCACAGATAACACAACAAACCACTACCCCACCTTCCTCATAACCAACTTATGTAAATTGCCTAAAGACACTAGCAAGATCTCATTCTGACTTCATGACGAGTCAACAGTAAATAACTACAGTGGACCCCCGCATAGCGATATTAATCCGTGCAAGAGAGCTCATTGTTATGCGAAATTATCGTTATGCGAATGAATTTTCCCCATAAGAAATAATGGAAATCAAATTAATCCGTGCAAGACACCCAAAAGTATGAAAAAAACAATTTTACCACATGAAATATACATTTTCCTACACACAAAGAGAAGGATACATGCACAATAGTAGAGTAGTACATGCACAATATATATTGTGCATGTACTACTCTACTAAATGAAGAATAAATGACACTTACCTTTATTGAAGATGCAGCAATGACTGATGAGACACTGTGTCCTGGGAGTGCCTTTTCCTCCTGAGTACTGTAGGTCCTGTTTGGCATTTTCTTCCAGAACAGGCCTTATCACACTGTGTATGCCACTACGATTCTTAAATCTCTCGAACCAACCTTTTCTGGCTTTAAATTCACCAATATGAGCACTAGTTCCAGGCATTTTTCCCTGTTCACCTGGTGTGTTAGTCGACTGGTGTGGGTTGCATCCTGGGAGACAAGATTAAGGACCCCAATGGAAATAAGTTAGACAGTCTTCGATGACACTGACTTTTTTGGGTTATCCTGGGTGGCAAATCCTCTGGGGTTAATTGTTTCTTGGTATTCTCAATAAGCCACACCAACAACAGTGCTACAGCAGCAGCAGCAGCAGCTGACAGTGCTACAGCAGCAGCAGACAATGCTACAGCAGCAGCAGCAGCTGATGGTGGTACAGCAGCAGCAGCAGCTGACAGTGCTACAGCAGCAGCAGATGATGCTACAGCAGCAGCAGACGATGCTACAGCAGCAGCAGATGGTACTACAGCAGCAGCAGCAGCTGACGGTGGTACAGCAGCAGCAGCAGCTGACAGTGCTACAGCAGCAGCAGACGATGCTACAGCAGCAGCAGACGATACTACAGCAGCAGCAGCAGCTGACGGTGGTACAGCAGCAGCAGCAGCTGACAGTGCTACAGCAGCAGCGGACGATGCTACAGCAGCAGCAGACGATGCTACAGCAGCAGCAGACGGTACTACAGCAGCAGCAGACGGTACTACAACAGCAGCAGCAGCAGCAGCTGATGGTGGTACAACAGCAGCAGCAGCTGACAGTGCTACAGCAGCAGCAGACGATGCTACAGCAGCAGCAGACGGTACTACAGCAGCAGCAGCAGCTGACGGTGGTACAGCAGCAGCAGCAGCTGTACCACCAATAGTAGCGATGGTTGATTGGGGTTTATTATACAACCTGGCCAGCTCGGAGACACGCACTCCACTTTCATACTTATCAATGATCTTTTTCTTCATCTCTATAGTAATTCTCACCCTTATTGCTGTAGGGTTGGCACTAGAAGCTTTCTTGGGGCCCATGGTCACTTATTTTGCAGATAAAATCACCAAAAAACACTAATAATATGAAATGTTCCGATTGTATGCTTGGATGTTACCGCGGAGGCTGGCTGGTAAACAATGCCACCGGCGGAACATGTGAGCGTGGCTAAGGGCGCACATTAGACGCGTCTCGGACGAACAGCATTGAGCGGGTTTTTTAGCGGCATGCGAGGCAAAATCTTGGCGATAAAAATGTAGCGGTATGCAGATTTAACGTTATGCAAGGCCAACGGTATGCGGGGGTCCACTGTATTTTGGAATTAAGTGACGACTGGCACAGAGAGCTAGCTGGCAGCCATGGTATTGATGAATGTGTCAAAATTTTTCTTTATAAAACCCAAAACCTCCAAAACAGGCATTGCCCAATTAAAACTAAGCATATCACAGCTAAGAGACTATATAGCCCATGGCTTACAAACAATATCCATTGATAAAAAACACCAACATGAAAAACCGTTCAGACTGGGTTTAATAACAAAAGAACAGACAAAACAATACACGTCAATACTTGCTAATCTAATACAGAAATCTAAACAAGTATATTATGCAAGCAGACCTAATGAAATGGGATCTATGAAGGCCGAGGTAAACCAGAGAACTGATAAAGTAAAAAAGCTGGGTGGTGCACTGAGGTATTTGTGGAGACAAAGAACGATATCCATGGAGATAAAGAAAGGAATGTATGAGAGTATTGTGGTACCAATACTTTCACATGGGTGTAAAACATGGGTTGTGAATGTCACAGCAAGGAGGAGGCTGGAGGCAGTGGAGATGTCATGTCTAAGGGCAAGGTGTGACGTAAATATTATGCAAAGAATTCAGTACGCTGAGGTCAGTGGTCACGTGTGGTCATACCTGTCCTGAGCTGTCTGGGTATTAGTGTGGGGTGTTACCAAGCACCATGGCATGTTGTAGTGTTTTAGAATCTCAGGTTAAAATGTTGAAGAAGGAGGCTCTACTTTTTCAGGAGGAAATAGGAGACTGAAGCTTCGCCTAGATGTGTTTGGGAGCGAGTGTGAGATAGCTGGTGCTGGTAAGGAGGAAATGCTTACCACCAGTGAGAGTGGCAGCCGCTTTAAGTGGCAAGTGGTTCACGGTTCAGGAAGAAGGAAGATAAGGAGGGTTAATAAAGTAGATGTGAAGGTAGGAAATCGATTCTCTGTTCTCCAAGATGAGTGTACTCCAGTGGTTAGTGAGGTTAAAGGTATCTCTGACTACCCTGCTAATCAAGGTAAGAATATTCTGATTGTGGGAGACTCTCAGGTAAGATATATGGACCATGCTTATTGTAACAAAGATAGAAAATTCAGACAGAGGGTGTGCCTCCCAGGAGCTGGTGTTGGTCATATAGTCAGCAGGTTGGATAATATTATGTCAGGTAATGGGAACAAGCCCATTATCTGTCTTAGTGCTGGTGGAAATGACACTGGGAAGGGCAGGATAAGTACAGGTCAGCTATAGTAGTCAGGCCTAAGGGAGGGATCCCTATCATATGTAGCATCTTTCCTTGAAGGGGAGTGGGCAATGAATGGATATCTAGGGCAACTGGTATAAATTGCTGGCTAGACAGGTACTGCAAGGAGCTTGCAATCCCATTCATTGATAACTGGGACAAATTCTATGGTAAACATGATATGTATGCAAGGGATGGGGTTCATCTCTCTTTGGGCTGGAGTGGTTGCATTAGCCAATTTGATTGAGGGGGTAATTGATGACTTGTCTAGGACTTTAAACTGATAGACTATAGAGGTATGGATGTTTGTGGGAAACAATCAGGCTGCAGTATTATTGTTGGAAACAGCAGATATTACCAGAATATCTCAGGGATATGTTTAAAAGACAATATTCAAAATAAAGTTCCTAATAAAGGCAAAGCAAGTGATCAACAAACAAAGAAAGATAGTAGAGGGCAACGAGTGACTAGCTCCCTTAAGGTTTTATATACAAATAGTAGGAGTCTAAGAAATAAGACAGATGAGCTAAGATTACGCGTAAGTGCAGGTAATATAGATATTATTGCTATAACTGAAACCTGGTTCAACCTGAAGGATAGAGAAATGCCTTCTGCATGCAGCATAAAGGGTTATAAACTATTCCACACTGATAGGGTCAACAAGAAGGGTGGTGGAGTGGCAATGTATGTCAGAGATAATTTAAATTGTGTTTGACATGATATAAGATTAGAAACATCGGATAAAGAATCTGTTTGGCTATAGTTTCTCAAGGGGTATGATAAATTAATATTGGGTGTGATATACAGGCCCCCAAACCTTGATAGGGAGTGCAGTAAGCTGCTATGGGACGAAATTCATAAGGCATCTAGATATGAAAATGTTGTGTTAATGGGCTATTTTAACTTTAGACAAATTGATTGGAACAATTTGACAGGAAATCTTGAGTCTAGTGACTTTCTTGATACAGTTCTGGATTGCTCTCTAAAACAGTTTGTGACAGAACCAACTAGAGGAAACAATCTGCTTGACTTGGTTCTAGTCAACTAAGATTCACTAATTAATAATCATGAGGTTAATGATGAGCTTGGGGAAAGTGATCACAAATCACTTAGTTTCAATATATTATGGAATTACCCAATAAACTGCAATAAAGTCTCTGTCCCAGACTTCCGCTTAGCTGATTTCATGGGTGTGGAAATTATTTAATTTCTGAAGCTATAGTGTCTAATAAGTGTTTAGGTGCTGATTTAGGTCAAAATGTATTTGCATTTTTAATGGAATCAGCTGGGTTCCCGCTGCGCCTGCGCAGATGTGCAGGGGGGTGGGGGGTCGAGCTGGGGGAGGAGGACGCGGGAGTGTTTTTGAATGTGGTGAGGAGGCTGGGAAAGCATGGAACCACGAAATTGGCATTCACGGCGGCCTAAGGATTAATATAGGCCTCATTTCATAATAGGAAGTGTCGTAACTGTTCCTGGTGGAGAGTGAGGGAACGTGATTTACGGGACCACCGTAATAAAGTGGTAAAATGAGTGAATAAGGGTAGGACCGGGTGACTGGCGCGTCACTATGGACTGTGTCCTGGGGAAAATTACCCTTGGTTTAATCATCACTCATCGGTCTCAGATCTTAATGGAGTGATCTCTAATGTGTATAATAATTATGAGACATTAAATCGTCTTGTGAATTGTAATGTAATTAATGACAATAACGCCAAGTTAAGATAATGCGTGAAGTGAAATAAGTCGTCTTGCTCCGAGTGAACACGTTAGACCTCGTTGTTCCCGAGACGAGGAAAGTGAAGCTCATTGAGTCACGACTTCTAAAGCGGGACAAACCAACGGATACCTCGTCCTGCTGGAATGAGAACCGTGTCGGTGTAGCAGGACATCGAAATGAGATGGTGAATGGAGGAAATAAGGAGTATCAATCACCCACAGTTAAGTAACCCTTCTAGTTATAACAGACTGATGCTGGCCAGTTAGGTTATGTTGTAATTGGATAGGTTATGAGTGATCCAGCTACATCAAGTGACCACCAGAGAACATCTGGTAAGTGGTGGGATTATGTACAAATGTTTTTCCTTGATGGATGTATCCAGGTGTATCCTACCCCCCCTTCATTCAGCTAAACTAATATAATCTATACAGTCCACAATTAATTAGTAGCACCGTACTTGTGGGTGCTATCCAATTCATACTGGTCTCGGATAGATATGGATAAGATTGTGAGGTCGAAGGAATCACTTGCCGCGACCAGGGGTGGTTAAGTTTTCTCACATGTCTACACGGGGTGACTACGGTAAACAATATGGTTGTCTCCCAATGAGATTACTGGTATGTATATAATGTTGAGGTACATACAGGTAAGCACCCTAGAAAATTTTCCATATCTGCCCGTTGGTCCTTCCTGAACCGGATGCAATCAGTGAAAAAATTAAATGAATTAATTACTTAATAATTAAGTGACTGATTGAAGGAAGTGGGTGTAGGGTGCACAAGTTTAATCGATCGTGTGATGGATGATAATTAGCCCAATTAATTGCTAGCACATGTGTGGCTAGGATTTATACAAGAGTAAAGTGCAAGAATTACTCTTA